CTTTGCACTTCGAGGGTGCGAAGCAAAGCCCGAAGTGACGGACAGCCAGTGCTAATCTGTCCAGTGCCGCTTGGCACGTCTGGGAGCTGTCATAGATTAGGGCAATATCGTCAGCATACTCCAAGTCAAGAAATCGTTCTCCTGAGAGCAGATCCATATCTTCTAAGTCGTGTCCTATGAACGCGATTTCCATGACTTCATCAATAGCGAGATTGAAGAGGAAAGGTGACAGCGAGCATCCTTGTCTCACACCGCTGGAGATATTAAAGGGCGACGACAACTTGCCGTAAGCCCTCACTCTGCCTGAGCTACGCGCGTATAATGCTTGGATAATATTTACATATTTCGCAGGTACATACTTCCTGAGTAGACAGTCCCAAAGTGCACGTCTATCCACAGAATCGAATGCACCTTTGATATCGAGGAACACGACAACGGTAGGCCTACAATATATGTGACGGTGCTACAACAATTGGCGCAAAGTGAAGATGTGGTCAATGCAGCCATGACCTCAACGAAATCCAGCTTGCTCCTCACGAATATGGCTTTCACGAGTGCCAGTCAGTCTGTGAAGGATGACAGAGCGAAGCAATTTGGAGGCGATGGAGATCAGACTGATTCCTCTATGGCTGCCCATTCTGATCGTGAGTCTGTCTTGAAAATTGGGACTATGACGGTGCGGCTCCAGTCGGTTGGGACAGTTTCCTTCTCCCACAGTCTCACTAGTAACTCGTATAAATCATCCACAAGAACAGCCCCCCCCCCCAATTTGAAGAGGGCTGGAGGTCGATCATCCGGTCCCGCGGCTTTATTTAACTTCAGTGCGTTCTCACGTTCGACTTCTGAGCCAGAGGGTGGATACAGGGACAGCCCAGGGAGCGGGGCGATCAGTGGCCAGGAAAAAAATAATAATTCCGACCGATTAAAGTGCCTTTCAACGTGCTCAGGCCAATGCTCCAAGCATTTTGACAAGTTGTGGATAGGCTGTCAATTCTCATTACGTATAGTTTCACTAACACCAGGTCTCCTGCTGCCCGTTTCCCATATCAGACGGATGGTTACCAAGGGCAGCGGCCATTTCCATCTCTGATGCACGATAAGACCACCAGGATTCGCGGTCTCTCTTCAGGCTAGCACAGAGTTTCGCCCGGAGCTCTTTGCGAGTTTCGTTGTGTTCGCTTCCAGCCGGAATATGCCAGAGAGCATCGATAAGTACCAGAGACCGTGAAGAGACCCAATGTCCATGTTGGCGACTAGCCACACCACATGAGGATTTTCCTGCTGCTAATAAGGAATGTGAAAATGAGACCAGTGAACTTCAATTGCATCCAGTGAGCGCTTACTCAACTCTCACGACAGCGTACTTTGATAGGCATTCAGAACAGCTGGTTTTGCCAGTTGGATGGTGTCAATGCGCTCACAACGTCGTCGTGGGCGTCCGCCAAAATGCATCCGCAGGTCAGCACATACAAGTGCATGGTCGGAGTCCACACATGTGCTCCAAATCGAGCGACAGTTCTGGACGCAGTCTCTCCATCGGTAATTTATCGCAATGTGATCGATTTGCGTCCATAGCTGATTCGAGGCTGGTGGGCGCCAAGTCACCCTCCGGCAGGTGCTGTGTCGGAAATTAGTGCTCGCAAGAAATAAGCGGGCATCGTCACACAAATGAAGTAACCGCTCACCGTTATCATTACGGGAGCCTACACCGTGCTGACGGCCCAGATGCAGTTCATCAGTGGACAACTTTCCAACTTGTGTGTTCAGATCTCCAGCCAGCCCTACAGTGTCCAAGCTACTACTGTGGCGAAGGAGCTCGTTCAAGTAGCGATAGAAGCCGTCTTTCACCGAATCATCGCTAGAGTTTGTGGGCGCACATGCAGCGATGACGAATAGACACCTGTTAGTCCCGCGCGACTTCGAAGCTTTGAACTAGCCAGCCAATCGGACTGCACACATCCGGCTACTGACAGGGATCCATCAACCAGAGCAGCTTCAGCCCGGGGACTCAGGGCAATGCCAATAACAGCTTGGCCGGTGCGCGAAGTTGCATCGTCACCGGATAGGCGTAATGAGAAAGTGCTGCTGATGTCACCTGAAGGGGATGACAAAGTGAGCAAAGAGCTCGAGTCTTGCAGGCGGGTCTCCGATAAGCAGCAGATATCGATTGAGAGGATCTCCAATGTTCGGGCAAGTGCTGCCTGTTGACCGATCTGTAGCAATGTGCGTACACTGAGGCGTGCCAATCTGAAGTAGGATCGAGGGCTACAAATGGAAACCGTTGAACTAAAATGGACCGCTTGGTTAGACATGGGCTTGTCGACAGAAGAGGAGTGACACTCCGCGTTAGCATGTGAGTTGAAATTAGAAGATAAACGCCTAGCAAAGCAAAGTGGGGGAGGGCCAGGAATTAGGGTGTTGAAAACAGGGGGGATATAAGTGAAGCTGGAACGGGACGGTAAGAGAGAAAAAGCGTAAGAGGGGGAATAAGAAGATGGGAAGGCTTGAGCAGTAGCATCCAAACCCCCTATTGACCCTGCTCGATGCAGCAGATAGGGCACCGTTGATTATCCTCTGCGGTGCCCAGAGAAATTCACTGTATTGCGTGGGCAGGATACTGTCAGGTTGCCCACGCCTAGACAGAACGATTAGGGTTCACAACCAAAGCCTTTGGTTCAAAAACCTGACCGCAAGGCAGCGGGTTTTGCGTTGGAGCTACCTCATTCCAAACCCAACCTGGAGGACCAGGAGACTGAGTTTGTCTGGCCTCTAACCATTGACCAATCTGGTATGAGTGGCTTTGAAGGTGCAAAAAAGCACCACCCAGAATAGCTTAATTGATCGCTGAGGCACACAAACCATCGCACCAAGGTAAGGTCCAGTCTCACTGTGGTTAGCACAGTCGGGGCAACTGCCCCTTTCGTATATTGCCACTATAATCGATTCACTCCAGTTAGCCGGGACACTTTTCCTTTCTTACATGTTTGAACAGTGAAGTCAGTGCTTTGCATAGGATCTCACCTCCATCCTGAAAGAGTGCAAGCGGGACGGAATCCGGGCCAGGAGCACGAAAACGGTTGAGGGCTGTGATCGCGTTTCGAAATTCGGCCTCTGACGGAGGCTCTAAACTAAAAGTCCATGGATCATTTTGCATCACCTGAGTAGAAAGAGGTCCGGGAGCAGGGGGCCAGCTGAACTGATCTTGAAAGTGTTCCGTTCAACGAGCCATACGACGCTCCTTATTGTGTATCAGCGCACCCGCGCTGTCTCTGATTGTCTCACTGACGCCTGGTTTCCTGGGACCAGTGGTGCGGATTAGCTGGAAGAGCGTGAGGTAATTGCCTACTGCTCGTGACTCCTCCATTTCTTGAGCCCTACTGGTTCACCAGGCTTCCTTGTCAGCACGTAGGCTCTGCTTTAGTTCGCGCCTAATGGTCCGTCTGGTCACATTGTGCTCAGAGCCAGACGGGAGGTTTCTTCCGATGTACAACGGGTTCACCGACCTCTCGGATATCCAGTGGCTGGTGCGATGACGATTGTTAGTGCCATAAGCAGATGCTGCTGCGTCGTGCATGACGGCTGAGATCCTATTCCACTGTAGCTCAGTGTCATTAGGACAAGACAGCGGAAGTTCGGTATACAGTGCTTGACTCGTGATTTCTGCATCAGTGTCTCCGGATGTGAGCAAGAATAGCGAGAGGACAAGCCGGGTGTAGTTACTTCAACAACTCCAAGAGAGTCACTGATCCTATTTTCTGATACGCAACACACGTCAATACCTAGCGTGTCTTACCTGTGTGCGAGCGTAGCCTGTTGACCGATTTGTCTTAAAGTGCGAACGCTGAACACCACCAGGTAACCGGGACAGTGTGGCCTTATAAGGGACTGTTCCCGATAGACATGCAGTGGGTGGTGCGGGAAGGTAGCTGCAGATGGTTCGACTCCAGTGGCACTTCGGTTGCTGTCAATTAAGCAAGGAACTATAAAAGTAAGGTTATTAATGGGGGGTTTAGAATGGAGTAAGAGAGACAGGTTGAAAAGAAAAGAAGGCGCCAGTAGTAGCATGTTTTCGCTTATCTGCCCTGCTGTATGCAGCAGATAAGGCGACCCTTGATAATCTGCGCGACGGCCGATGACGGATGTAGCTAGAGTCTGGGGAAATAGTCATGGCTGCATGTGAGCTGGATACCGCCAGGGCTCTCAGACCTAGACGAGAGGACGATTAGGGCCCTCAACCAAAACCTTTGGCTCAAAAGTTTGTCCGCAAGGCAGCGGGGGATGTGGCAATGATTTAGTTTGACAGAAATGGACGCCATCCCATTTCAAACCCGCAACCTGGAGGACCAAGAGAATGAGTTTGTCTGACCTCTAACCATTGACCAACCTGGAAAGCGAAGCTCTCAAGGGGACCTACGGCATAACCCAGCATAGCTCAGTGGATGATTGAGGCACACAAACCATCATACCACGGTAAGGTCCAGCCACGTCGCGATGCGGCTTGTAACCCTGGGAGTTCAACCGCTAAAATACGCACAGGCGCATGCGATCCCGCGGAAGATGCAGCCCACGCGCGACCGGTAGCAGTTGCGTGGCAGCAAAATCTCGGTAAGGTGTGCCAGCGTAGTGCGGATGCTTATTAAATGATGGGAAGCGCTATATCGAAGTTAGAAATCAGTCATTGTGGTCCTCCGCCGTCACCTATCGCTCAGTGGCTTAAATCGCTGGCTACAGATCCGGATCTAGTAGGATCCGGCGGATGGGCGTTACTGACGAGTCCTAGTAGGATGAAACGGATATCTAGCGCTTTCGTGGATGTGTGGTGGCTGTCTGATTGAGTCTAATCGCGATGAACCTTCTCAACAAAGCCATTAGAAACTCCATTCACTACCCTCTACTAACTGGACTGAAGTATATTAATCAGCAAAAGACCAGAGAATGACACCTGGGACATTTTGGCTATAAGACTTTAAATCTCATTGTGAATCACATGCAAGACATACCGGGATAGAGAGTGATCCGCTGCATTCTGAAGTCCCGCTTCACGCCCCAAATGCACAATGCGATTGTAACTTAAATCCAAGTGGACGAGGGTTATTGGAAAGAAGTGAAAACCAGGAAGTGACTCCAATCGATTGTGACTAACGTCCAGATGTTTTAGCAGAGGGGTTAGAGTAGCCAATGAGATGGATGTAGGGTAATAAAAATCGTAGCCAGTGGCTGCGCCTTTATCCTTTGGCTTCGACTCTGGGATAAGTGTAGAGAGTTGATTGTGTTGGACCCACAAGTCCACTATTCTACACCGGGACGGTAGAGAATCCTGTGAAATGAGCCGATTCTGGTAGTACAAGAAAGACAAAAATGACAAACCTTGAGCCAATGAAACGAACTGCGCCTGTGGAGTAGGGATAAGTAAAAGTTTAGGATGACATGCGACACGTGTTGATTAATCAAATGAGTTTGGGAAGGATGAATGGATGTGCATCGCCAAACAAGAAGAGCATCACGAGGGAAATTCACTGAAATGAAGGAACGAAAAGAAGCACGAATGGACTTGAATTTAAGTAAAATGTGAGGGTGAACCGAACTACACGGAGACTAGAGCTGGATGGTGAGCAGGAGAATAAGTTATGGAAAATTGAAATGGAAGGTAAGGATGACGAAGGATCGAAAATTTCACGATGCTCACCACAATGAGGAAAAGGGCGAACAAAATGGGTATTCAAATGGAGAATGAAAAATGAACCAGTGAGAACTTGTGCCCATTCACTTATTGCAAACATTTAGGCAAACGTGTCTGAGTGAGATGGAGCATTAGGACCTTAAAAGAGCTCATAAGCCTTTAAGATATCAAAACCAGTGGCACGGATTCAAGATCCCCAAAAGAGTTCGATCGAAGAAAACGACTAAAATGCAGCGAGAGGAATTGTGTTTGCACAACGATCTCCCATGGGCCGAGCAGGTACGATTAAATTCGAAGGCAACGAGGAGTGTTGTTTAGTGAAGACAAAGGTGCAGAGCCGAAAAATCTCAGCATGGAAAAGTTTCGTAGATTAGATTGACAAAGACGCATTATGGTCACCAATTTTGTCGATGATGTCATCTAACACCAAGACTTCCTGAAATTTGTGCCTGATGAGTTGAAAGGTAAAAAGTCTCATCTAATAGGACTGAAACGATGACCAACAGTGTGTAAACGGACGTCCAAAATAACTTAAAACACCAAGAGTTCGGTAAGAAAATGAATAGGTACATAGATGTTGGTTAACAGGCAAACTTGCAATGATCCTGTAATCGCGCATGATGTCTTTGCCACATCAAAATCCTTTGGTTCTAACTACATTGAGCATGGTCATACTGCGGTTATGAAATGTGAGGGGACAGTACAAGACCGACGCAATGGTGATAATGATAAGAGAGAAGGCGGAGTGTCAGCTGCCTGAGGTGTACTAGAAAAGTGAACTCCGATTAGAAAGGTGTTCGCTGTGAGGAAAGGTATGGTAGATGTCACATCGAACAAGTGGATGCGCGATTTCCGCTGATCGAGTGGTGTTTGGCCATTTAGCCAATTCGGGAACTCGCTAGTCATCTGGTTGTCGATTTCGTAATACACACAACAGCAAAGAGGTCAAACTTTTGTAGCCAAGGTGTCCATCCGATGACTTAGTCAAGAGAAAGGAGAGCTCTTACATCGAAACTGGGTACCTCTGTTAACATGGCGAAGAGCCGCGCTTAATGACGTTCGTGTTGTGAGTTTCCCTATCCTTTCCTAGCCCGCATTGCCATTCCCCTTCAACCACGGTCCCATCGTGGATGCAGAAAATAAAACAAAGCATAGTAATATTTTTGTTTGATTTTGTCTTCTTTTTACTACCGTCAAAGTGAGTTGCATTGCAGCGCAATGGTTGAGGTGTTTCGCACATGTGGGATGATGCTATGTAGTGTAACCCAGTCCTGCTGTTCAATTCCATCTTATTATGTGACATACGGGGGTCCGCAGCGGCAGATGTGTGGATGGATGGTAGCTATACGGATTACCTATTTGTAGCAAGAAAAGTGGGCAACGATACCGGGTTTCGCATAGAGCAGGATGGTTCTAGGGTGTATAAACCACCCAATAATCGTTGCGAATGATCACTTTGATGTACAAAAGTATTTGGATCAATAAACTAGCTTTTTACGGTATTTCTGGTAATCTTGAGGAGAGGTTGGTCACAAAAAATCTCACAAAAATAGGTTGTTGTGAAAATCATTTCGGGCGAGAAGCGAGTCTTTGGTAACGTCATTGCAGACAGAGTCTTGTGCTCAGATCCACAAACATGCAAAGCACCTACGTCAAAGAAGGTAGCGCCAACCTACTGATAATGATGATGACTACTGGGATCCACAGAACGTAACTGGGATCACAAATACAACGGGGCTACGGCATCATCATGTTCTCTGTATAGATACACTTGTATCGTCACAGAACGACAACTGGCCGAGGCATTTATCAGCATTTACAGTCACGATACTGACATATGGGGAAATATTGCCGAGCATGTTTTGACCAAGGTCTTGTCATCCGCAAATAATGATGTACAGACTTGGAGCTTTGTTCACCGGAGTAACCAAAGAGGCATGAAGGCGAACCCAATCCGGTGGACATAAGGGAAACTAGGTAGATCTACCAAGAATTTAAAAAACTGAACGGATATACAATCTCCCTGTGTAAAAGCAATTTAGTCCATAGCGATTTCCCGTTTCGAAAAATACGTCGTAACAAATCGGAGGACTCTTCCGAAGCAGCACATAGTCATCAAGTCTATTTTTGGTAGAACACCTGACATGAGGTTCAAAATGTAAACAAAAACAGAAAAGTGATTTTCTTGCACTATCACAATCAATATTGCACCTATACCTGAACAGCGTAAGCAAAGTAACCTGTTGAAGTGGAATGCAGTTTTCATCGGTTTAACTAGTGAGTAGTATAAAAGAGTGAACAGAAAATCTGCGATAACATCGGAGGGGTATTCGCTGGATGTGAGTAGTAAGGCTCGTGAGAATTCGCAGTGGAAATCATCAGGGCAATGTACTAGGCATTTGATTTGAGGAGTGTTCATGAAGAGAGGGGACTCGAAGTACCAGAGAAATTGGGAGATCATTTGTTCCTGTCTATCTGTGCCTGCGGAACACTGAATGTAGCTGGTTGGTGTGATACTGACTTCCGCCAGTTGGGGAGACGCAACAAGCACGGCAGTCCGCCAACCGACTAGCAATTGAACACGAATCGTCAAATTCAGTTGCTCATTTGTTCGCCGAGCTGCGAAATTGGTTTGCAAACGTTTCACCGTCATGCGAGACGGCATCATCAGTGCGTCGAGATGTGGGGTGTAATCTCGCTGATTGAATTGTCGACCCGTGACATTTCGAAAGTGACGGCTTCGATCCGTGTCCCGTCTCTTGAAGGACACAACGACCTACAAGTGCATTGACACCGATCCAACCTCACAGCTGGCAAACAAATTAAACAAAACGTTGAAACAACTTCAAGAAAGGAATCAAATCACGAAGGAGGAGAGCGAACGAATGAGAGCCCGTGACTCGAGCATCGCGCAATTCTATGGACTCCCAAAGGTACACAAAGATGATGCACCATTATGACCGATCGTGTCACTACCAGGAACACCCACCTACAACTTGGCGAAAGAAATGTGGAGACGCCTCAAACATCTGACCTGTGGATCGCAATATTCCATTAATAATGCCCAGCAATTTCTACAAAAGCTCAAAAACCTGCGAATACATGATGACGAAACAATGATATCTTTCGACGTGACTGCCCTCTTTACGTCTGTAAACTTACAAATGGCAACAACAGTCATCACAGAACGCCTGAACAGCAGTGAACAACCAATCGGGAACCTAACGACCGAAAACGTATGCAAACTACTGCAGTTGTGTCTGTCAACCTACTTCTCTTTCAACGGGAAGATCTACGAGCAATTGAAAGGCGCACCAATGGGATCACCTATATCGGGACTCATCGCGGAGATGGTAATGCAGAAATTGGAGGGAGATGTACTTATTAATCCGAAACTGTGGGTCCGATATGTTGACGACACTTTTGTGATCATCAAACGCAATCAAGTTACAGTCGCACAGCAGCTATTGAACAACGCCATTGAAGACATCCGGTTTACAATGGAAATGGAGAAGGAAAACCAGAAGGAAAAAACCTGGATGTCTTGGTAACCAGAACGATGGAAGGGAAGCTGCAAACATCAGTTTACAGAAAATGGACACATACGGACCAAATTCTGAATTTCAGCAGTAACCATCCGAAATGCCACAAAGTAAGCTGTGTGCGGACACTATTTGGTAGAGTGCAAACACACTGCAGTACCACGGAGGCAAAGCAACACGAAGAGAAGCATCTGTTTAAATGTTTCCAACTCAACGGATATCCACGAAGCTTCATCCGAAGGTGTCTGAACCACAACAAACCAAACAGACAGTCTACACCAACGACGGAGAGACGCGTTGTTTTACCTTATATGAAGAATATATCCGAAATGGCAGCAAGACTATTCAAACAACATCACTTCATCGTAGCACACAAACCAACTGCTACACTGAGAAAAACTGTCGAAACCGAAAGAGAAACTGGAAGCTCATGAGCAAAGCAATGTTGTATATAGACTACTTTGTAGAAATTGCGAAAAGGACTATGTTGGCCAAACAGGCAGAAAATTAACAACACGATTACAAGAGCATAAAAGAGCATGCAAAAGACACTATGCATCTTCACTAGTCTCAGCACACGTGGACGAAAAAGAACACAGCTTTGATTGGGCCAAAACAGAAGTCCTGGCACTATGTGAAACAAGAAGAACAAGGGAATTCCTGGAAGCGTGGTTCTCAACACAAGACTCGATCAACATGCATATCGAGCTTGACCCAGTTTACCAACCCCTCCGACGGAGAGAACTTACAGAAATTATGAGACGCCGCTTGAATAGGAACAACCCAAGCGACGACCTCCGCCACGGGGAAATGGGTAGAGATCACGGGACACGGATCGAAGCCGTCACTTTCGAAATGTCACGGGTCGACAATTCAATCAGCGAGATTACACCCCACATCTCGACGCACTGATGATGCCGTCTCGCATGACGGTGAAACGTTTGCAAACCAATTTCGCAGCTCGGCGAACAAATGAGCAACTGAATTATCAACCCGAGCTACCAGTTTTCCAAAACATTTTAAATGAATCGTCAAAGCTTGCTAGGCCACGCCAACTGTGTGATGGAGGTGTCAAATCAGAGTGAGCGGATTGACCAACCGATCAAGCCAGACACCCAATGGGAAGCGGGCGTAGCGCATTCTATTACTGGACTTGGATCGACCGATATTCGAGTGATTGAGTCAGCGTTTGTTAAACTGAAGCAAAGGAGGAAACTCATTGACACAGAAGGGTTGTTATTTATGGACTTGAATGTGTAACTTACATCGATGAGTTTGGCTTGCCAAATATGCTGTAACTTTCGCCGACTTGACTATGCCGAATAAACACTTGTCCCTAAAGGACTGAGTTTTGCAACATGGTGTCAGACAAAACAAAGGCGAACCGCAGCGGCGGCGCTCGGGTGCTGTTTGAATCACCAGCGTCCATTCGGATGCCCGACCCATTGAACATGGATGAACGGAACTCGGCGATTAAATGACGTCTATGGAGGAGCAAGTGGATGGAATTCTGCACCTTAGTACGTATGGGCGAGCAACCGATGGCGTATCACTTGGTCATGTTTCGACACGCAGCCGGGGATGACGCGCACCGTGGCAGAGACATGGCAATACAACAAAGACGAAGATCCCAATAATTTGAAGACGTTCTATGAAAAGTTCCAGACTTCATCCGAAGGGCTCTGCTACAATCGAAGTGCTTAACCCAAGAGACAAAACCTCACATCGACTGGAGTTTGTGATCGTGGAGGATCTCACGCCGATTCTCGGCATTGATTCGATGCAGTCAATCGGTTTTGTTGTGTTTAATCATGATCGTTTAGTATATGCTTGCCCGGGAGAAAATGATATAAGTGATCAGTATTCGTCTGTGTTTAGCCAGAGTTTGGGAAAGTTTAGAGGATTCGCTCACTTGTCCTTAGATCGCTTGATCCGACCAACTACGCTATCGGCTAGGAGAGTTCCATTTACGCCGTGTGAAAGGTTCTCGGCTGAATTGAGCAAATTAGTGAGAGAGAATGGGATTGCCAAAATCGATGAGTCAACCGACTGGCTTAGTCAGATCGTAATCATTGCAAAGAACACAGGCGAACAGAGCGTGTGTATCGAACCAAAACCGTGGAATGAGGCCTTGCGCAGAGAGCAGAGAGAGAGAGAGAGCTACCTACCCTAGAAGACATTTTGCCGCATTTGGCCAAAGCGAAGTGTTTCACGAAGGGAGACCTCTCTTCGGCACTCCGGCACGTTGTTCTAGATGAAGAATACAGTTTCCTTACTAACTTTGCCACACCGCTCGGGCGTTAACGCTGGCTACGTTCACCGTTTGGTTTGAAAGTGTCGAGTGAAACTTTTCAAAAGCGGTTGGTGCAAGCGGTAGACGATTTACTTGGTGTAACATGCATGGCAGACGTTTTGATCTTTGGTTCGACCGAAGGAAACCATGACGCTAAACTCCACCATTTCTTACAGCGTTGCGTGCAAAAGAACATCAAGCCTAAACGTAAGAAAATTGAACTTCAGAAAGAGGTGATTTCCATGGGCAACTGCCAACAACCCAAGAGGTCAGGGTCGATCTAGGAAAATCAAGGCAATTCGAGAGATGCCGCCCCTAACGAGGTGAAGGGAATCCATCGCTTAAACGGTATGGCGAATTACTTGAGCCGCTTTATGCCAAAACTTGCGAATATCATGACACCGATTAGGAAGTTAACTCACAAAGGAGTAAAGTGGAGTTGGGGTAAAGAACAGGAAACCGCATCCGAAACCATTAACCACCTCATCAGCAACGCGCCTGTAACCGGGTATTACGATCCAGCGCAGCCTTTGGAGGTACAGTGTGACAGTAGTCAAGAGAGAATAGGTGCTGAAATTTTCGCTGATTTGACTTTGCTGAATAAACGCTTGTCTCTGAAGGACTGAGTTCTGCGACAAACTGCACACCGGTTGACAGCCCACCAGGACCGGAGTTATCAGCAGCGATACACTTTACTCACTGAAACTACGAAGTGGCTGAAAAAAACAAAGCGCACTGATCGCTTACGTTACCCAGGACAGATGAATTGGGGTAGGCCGCTGCAGAGAGTACGCTTTCTGTGGTATAGGGCATGGTTGTGAAGTGCACAAAGCTTTGGTCTTTTCCGCCTTTTGCATTTATGAGAAAAGTAGTGTTTCTTGTCGTCGTTCTCCCGCTTTTCCGTTCCTATGCATCATCATTATCATGGAAGCGCAAGTAAAAGCAACCAGGGTCAAGGCGTATCGATGTGCAGAGTATAGTGGTCTAATATGTCCAAACTAAACATAAGCATACGTGGAATAAATCGATCCCATCTGAAAATAACTGTAGCGAAGTGAATCATTAATCGTCAATGCACGTTGCCGGAGGTTCAGGCCCCTGTCTTGCAACAGAATGGTACCCAGTTCGATCCTTCACCGGATAGAGAGGACTCTGATCACTATTGATAACACTTAGAGAAAACAGATGACCACTGAGTATCATAGATGTCCCGTTACAACTTGGTTCGTATTAGGTAATATACAATACGAATTCACTCGCCTGCTCTTTGGTAGACAACGCGAACATAAGTAAAAGACTGAAGATGTAGATTCATAAATGCAAATAACTGAAAAGATATAAACAAGCGAGACTAACGCAGCAGAAGCTCTCTAAGAGTGTCTCAAGTGCACGTGTAAAAAGAATGTAAGACTATCAGGCTGGAGGAAGAGGGAAACGTCACTCACCTCTCCAACAGAACAATGCCTCCTTTTTGACACCGAACCAGCTTTGCTACTATCAGGTGATGGGAAACGAGTGAGTTTGTTGTAGCTAAGATCCAAAAAACTTAAGTTTTGGGAAGACCACATGGAAGAAGGCACTGAAAGTAGTTGGTTATTTGAAACCATCAAGTGCGTCAGATTGGGTGCAAATGGAATGCAGTACAGGCGCTGTTGGTTAACGCGGTCTGCAAGTGACTTCTCAGAACTTGTTCGCTTGAATGGGGATATGCACCGATGTGGTGAGCTAGGAGGTGTGTTGACGAATAACCAATCGGGGAGCGATTTCAAATGATTGTGCGATAAATCCAGATATGTCAAGTTGGATATTAAGTAAACCTGTTCATATTGGGGATTCGGCATTGCCAATGGAAGGTCAGAGAGGTGATTCCAGCTCAAATCTAGTTCCTGAAACACAACAAAAGAAGCATGAGTTTAATGAGAAAGCAATACCATGACAAAGACGGTGTAGATGTAGGCGACCCGACTATCTTGGGGACGCCAGCAGTATGGGAAACGTTACATCAGATGGTGACTTAGTTTGTTGGGTGATTACCTGCCGATAGGCAAAGCAACCGATCACAAGAGGTTCAAAAGTGAGGCACAAGTAAGAGCTAAAAAAATACATACAGTTAGTTGGTTTGATCGGTCAAAGTATTTTCGAGAAAGTGGCCGAACAAAGGAAAGTATATGAACAGGGTTTGCCGCTCAAATCGTAAGACAAGAAGGTTGGACCCAAACCAAAATAAAAAGCTAGTAAGCCATAAATCCCACTACGAGAGCACGAGTAGATAAAGTTAATACGCACCCGACCAACGATATTTTAGCAACATCCAAACGGAAGGGGGAAGAGATTTGCAAAAGCAGTAATCATTAAAATCAGCCCAATTAAAAATCGAGCTTTGTACGGCATTTTTAGGCAGGAAAGTTTCCGTCTCAAGAAGGATTAGCTATATTAATTCAGCTTCATTTGGCGAAATACAGAGAATTCCGAGGGCGATTGACCAGTAGTGCAAAAAGACGGTAACCCACAATGAGAACACACTCTGTGCCAGTATGAAAAAGACATCGCAAACAAAAGATAGATAGAAGGTAGAAAGAGGAATTAGCGACATCTGAATGGTAGTTCGTGGTCCCCCTACACTTTGTGATATCAAATTGCAAGGGCTACAATGTGCTAGCACGAACGTGATGCAGCAGTAGAGCGTTTCATCGGATCCCATCTGAAAATGCGTCATACAACCTTCCGAAATGCACTCGAGGCAGAACGATGAAATGAAGCTGTACTTGACAACGAGAACAAAGACAGGTGACACAAGAAAAATGGTGAGCAACATGGATAGAAGTCCGAAAATACTAAGCAAGAAACGCACCTGCAGATTGGGTAGCTCAACCAGTAGACACCAAGGTAACACTTCTAGTCCACAATGGGAGAGCGATACTCTGGTAAAGGCCGAAGGTTGAAAGCTATCTGTATAAAAGGTCGAAAATGGTCGAAGCCAACCTGTTATGGGACCCTTCAGTAAAAGCCAAGTGGCACTGGGCAACACGTTCGGATTGAGGTGATGATGGGACCAGTTCAAATGGATTCCGCGGACATCATTCGGGGACATCGGAGACATGCTGGTGGGTCCCATGACGAGCAGACCAGAAAGACGATGACGCCCTTGGCGGTAGGCAAGATTGAAAACTTTCTGTCCATCATCCACCGCCCCAGCTCGGAGGAGGACTTCGCTCATTTCGCAAGCCAACTGGTAGACAAACAAGCGACAGAGAGAAAAACTTGTTACTCGTTGGCTACAGACTAGAGGCCCTCAGATATTGTCAAGTCATGGATAAAAACAAGAGCCGCTTGCCCGGCAAGCTATGGTGAATCGTATGGCGGTCGTGCGGTGTACGTTATCGTAGGGGTTAAGTTAGAATGGAGTAGTGAATGAGCGTTGCCCAATTCATAATGCTTATTCAACTATGATATATTTGGTACGGCTGTGTGCGATGTGAATAGTAGCTGGGTGCCCACTAGTCTGGTGCGGCTACTAAATTGCCGACTCCGTGAGACCCTAAATCGTTGCTTGGGGTGTAGAGTAACTGTGAGAGTATCAGACACAAACAGTAATCCACTCAAGGAACGAGCAGTGGCCAAGCCATCAAGTTACGTCCATCTGATCAAATCTAAATCGACAAGCAGACATTATGTACACATCTTACAAGAAACACAGGTGCTTTTCTTAGTGCTGTGCTTGAGGTGCACAGTTTCATTAAGTCAGAGTAATAATGGCCCACTTTCCGGTTGAGCAAGTGTGTTCAGCAATAAGAGGTTAGTCCGGTGCAACGCAACATGCGACGGACTATGACCCTTCAACTAGAATCGCAACGCAAGCCAAGTCAATTGTTGTGCATACCCGGTGCTTAAATTACATAAGCGAATGGGTGGATCTAGTGAAAAGCCTGTACGGCTTTATAAAGTAAAGGCCAAAACGAGGCAGTCAGCCAGGTTTCATCGAACACAGCGGTAGTAGCCAACTGTAGTGTTGATCATGATGGGACAAGAGCCCAATTGATCGCGGGAATAGGCAAAACCCACACGATACATTGTTACGGCGTCTCTGTCAGCATGCAGGCTGCCGCGAACTCCCCTTGGCAGAGAAATCGAGGTGCAGTTCTTATAAGACACAGGAGAGCGTCACTGTGTGATTGAAGAGGTCCCGAATGACCCAACTGACATATGATAGTATTAGTGATCTAACACCTAGCGGCGGAACACCAGTTTGAGATCAATTCTGAATATGAATCGCACAATGTGAAGCCGTGAAGTATGATGTGGATATCCTGATGTCAAACACTAGTTGCTTCACAAAAGGTAGTATGGAGAGTTAAAGGGTAAAGTGGAATTCAGTACATCAAAACTTACTGTTTCGTTAGTATTACTGAGGCAGTAAGCCAATCCCAGAGCAGTTAGAGGGACACTGGATTCCTCGGAATCGGAAGAATGACGGGTCCCGGCAGCTTGGTCGTCGGATTGGTGAACGCAGGGTCCAGCAGTTGTGTTCACTTCCTCAAGAAAGTATTCGACGATGGATGTCAAAAGCTCAACATTCCTAAGAGTAAACAAAAAAAACTGTAAGCGATTTGATTGCCGACTAATGGGAACTTCAGTAGCATATAGAGATAAACAGGATGATGGCGTTCAAGTGCCATTTGAGAGTCATGCCGAAAATGTGGGTGTCGTAAAATATAAACGGAAGTTTGTAAATATACAAGGTAGTGTAAACAAACAACTACAGTATACATTGGAGGAGCGCAGTTCGACGTCTTTCCAGTTTTGCCAGGTGCGTAGGAGAGTTTCAGTGGGAAAAGCAACTGGACCGAACGCCAATCTGACAGCGGGTTAGACTAGAAATCTGGAGTGTTAGGACCGAAAGTCAGGAAGGCAGCTAATCAGTTGAACCAACATGTCACGTACGAGTTCACACAGGGAGTTTTGGTTATGTCCAACGTGGGCGATGAAGACTGATAGAATAAGAAGCAAATGATGGAGAGAGCAGCTCTAGGCCACATACAAATCTGATGCCATTCACGTCAACTGTATCCGGAGCGAACGGAGACAAGTGTGTACATTTCCACCAATGAGATTGTATCGCGTGCACCAACTCAAATGCGAAATCTATTAGGCGAAACCGAGGAGTGTAGAAAGTGGTCGTACATACCTAAGGCGATTTCCAACTGCCATGCACAAGTCGTCAAGCTGTCCGCCTGACAAACCAATGGCATCGAAAGATCGAGTGGCATGGATGACGTATCGGCTTATCGAATAGGGAGATAACCAAGAATAACGTCAATATAAGGGGATAAGGTCGTTCGGGAGTAGACACTTGACATGTGGGAAACCCTTAAGGCTACTTGGTCATAGAGGCTATTGACAGCTACTCAGCTTATGAGGACGAGTTGCCACCAGGTTACACTCAAGTAGACTACGTCATGCAGCGCAGGCAAAAGCCGAGGCGATGGTGTCGGTCTGATCTTCTCTGCATGGCATTTCAATTTGTCACCAGACCGAGAGTCAATAAATGTTGTCCGGAAACTAGCTAATGTATTCTCACATTTCGGATCAAACAATCAGTATTACGGATATCATTTGAAACCAAAACAAGGCAAGGGTCATGACAAGATCACTTACAACTAAGCTTACGGAGGAAGAGACTAGAAATAAGCGCAGGAAGCAGCAACGGGCTAATGGTATAGCTCGTCAAAAAGAACGAATGAATAGAATTCACTGATATCTTACATGCACAAGAAGGGTTTAGCGCGCAACCATGCAGTGACTTTACGCAAGAACGGGAATAATCCATGTATAGTTACAGGTGGGAATGAAAAGCGCACTCTCTCACGCAAACGCTTTCACGTTTCCTATTAGCCACCTCTATGGACAGATCTTGTACGGCTCAGAGTCATATGCTAATGAATGAGCGCATCTAACAATTAGAATAAGTTATTTGAACTAAAACATCAAGAATAATGGTGCCGAGAAGAGTAATTAAAACATACCCAGAAATGACTGCCAAGTGCAAAGCGTTAAATTGTCCGCAGATCAAGTGCAAACCAAGACCGGTGTGATTACAAGGATTAACAACGAGCCGAGATATCCTCTCATGAGACTGAGAGTCTGATTCACCGATATACCAGCAAGCAACTACCCGGCGCCGAAAGTCAATAGGGCTGGCGACGGAAACACGAGTGGCATCATCAGTTTGCGATTGAAGATCAATCGGTTTTCTCGCTTCGATGCGAGTTAAATCAGGGGAAGAAAACATTGTGCCGCGATTAGACGACGAGCTTATGGGTCGGTAAGGGGACCAGTCGAAATCACGCGGCAGTAACTGGATGCCCACACGAAATCGAAGGAGTTCCATCACCGTTTCGGTGTGCCCATGAATTACAGCCAATAGAAACGGCGTCAGTCCGTAGTAGTCCAGCTGATCCAGACTGAGGAAAAAAGAAAACAAAACGGTAGAATAAGTAGCAATTGGATCAAGAAGCAACTGCAAGCAACAAATTCGCTTGAGGCTCGAGTGACATTTGAAAACTACCGGTTCAAGCAAAAAATGAAGCCGAGACTAACTACGGTACAATTCAAATACTAATCAACATACAATATTTACATACCTCAATAAATACCCGATCAGTTCCGAAACAACCGACCATTACGATGTCGAAAAGGAATACAAACGGTACAAGCCACCGTACATAAAGAGTCACACCATATCGAGTCCACGTTCGGACTATAGCCGTTTTTTTATTAACTCCGTTAACACTTGGCTCATTGATTCACTATACAGCGTATGAAAGGGAACGCGATGGGCTGGGCTCTTGGGGTGGCTTGGCTCAGTCAAACAGTGGGAGAGGGATGAACATGGAGGTGTATGCCCCTGGGGCTGCAGGATGATTCAAGTCTGAGGTGTGTGGGCAGGGTGGTCTGGACGGGTTGCACAGTGTGAGCGAACGGTCACCACAGTGAGAGGTGAGGTGAAGTCATAGCAACGTCGATATGAGATCACATGGGGGACAATCGGTAAGCCAGCGTTCATCAAATGGAGCAGGTGTCTGCTTTAGTCATCCAGACTGGAATCCCGACATGCGTCTTGCCAATTACATAATGGCTATGTCGGTTGGAATGTAACCATGACACATAAACCTTGAGCAGATAGGTGGCAGGAGTCAAGACTTAAATCATGGCATCCATCTTGCGAATTACATAGCACTTATGTCGGGAGGGCAAGTAACCATGAGGCATAGAGTGGGTAAACAAATAGTTGGTGGGAATCCAGAGTTAGATAGGGTCATACTCCATGTTGTGAATTGCGTGGTAAATTTACCGCTTACAGCAAAAGCGTAAGTAAACACGCCACACAGAACTGCGATAAGCAGTGGAAGAGATAGCCCAACGGCCGCATTGCTTGGTACTCTACGGAACACAAAGTTCGAACTCCTAATAAGCGGAAAACTACACCGGGGTGAGGAATAACTGCAGAACAAGTCACACATATGTCAGTTCGGAGTGCAATGCAAACGAATTAAGGATAGAAAATAAACCGAACGACACAAAGAAAGAAGGAAATCAAGAACAGGGTGAAGGACAGCAGGTGGCATCCAGGACCGAATGAAATCGCATGACTTCCGACAATCAACTAAAGCAGGAATTCTTAGCCGTGGCCCCCACCCTTGATCACCACAAATTCAGCACTCCGAAACGACTAACAGACGTAAACCTGTGATTTCAAGTGGTCATATTGGTAGCTTTTGTTATGATGACTAAAGTTTTAATGTTGGTATCACTGCTCTTTCCCTTATAAACCCCATTTTTTAAACTGCACAGCCTCAAGATAACATTCATTGTGTGGCAACATGAAGCCACTTGTCTGTGACTGCACAAAAGTCATTATTAGTATGTAAGAATTGTACTTGACTATTGTTAGCTTTGAACTGCAAAGCATGTCAAGGATTAGGAATTAACTTCGTACCAATAGGTTTGTTGATTTGTTGATGCGAGCTTTGAGCCTGATGTCCTTGAGTAAGCTTGCTTATGTACGGGACCATACTTTACAGCGAGTCGAAGATCTCTTCTTAATGTGATGCCCAATCTGTTACTATTTTTAGTTGGAGAAATCACTCTACTGAATTTACATTCGAATAAATATGTGGATGGAAAAGCAAGAAAATATACTTCAGCTGCATTCCACAGTCTGGGATATCCGTTAGGGGCATCAGACAATCCAAAAATCCTTTCTATATTGCGTGAATTTGGATCGCGCTATGGTGTCACTTTGAAGCCATACGAGACTTTCCCGGGTTTTAACTCCAACATCGCAGGGCTGTACATCAAATGGATCTAAGATCAAAATCGGGATATCCATATCAATCAGGTCGAGAAATGTGTTTTCCATTTCTTTTCGGTTGTTGCAAATAACTGGCATAGGCAATCAAGTCTTCATCGTTCAGCTCCTCCGTGACTGTAGTGAGAAGTGGAATTTGTGAAAATTCCCGAACATACACTATCAGCATTTTAAGAAAAGCGATAATGGCTTCTTTGCTCGAGATGAGATTACTCAACTTGCCTTGAAGAGTTTTACTTAATAAGTTGAGTTTCTCGAAAATATCAGCCAGGTAAAACAAGTCTGGATTAGCTATTAACACTTTCCTTGTGTAATCAGTTCAAGAAAGAATTGTGATGTTGGCGTCCTAGAGTGCAACAAAACGACGAATACAGTTGTCCTTGAACAGCCATCTAACTTCTGTACGCGGCAGTAGAACCTGGAAATCTTCACTGTTCTCCCCACACAACTTCTGAAAAAGGCGATTTTGAAGAGGGTACGATTTGATATTGTTGACTACTATTATAACAATTGACTGAATAGTTTAAGCGCCCCCCTTAGTTATTAGCCACCAGGTGCTCGCGAAGAATCCCACAGTGAATGGTATGAACAGAAGGAAGACGGGCAATAAATCCTTTATATCTTCCGATCATTGCGGTAGCACCATCTGTTGCACATGCAAGTGTGTTCTATATTGGAATGGAGTTGTCGGTCAGGTAGCTTTTGACTACCTCCAATATAGACTGATCCTTTGTATGAGTTGCAATTCTCCTGGCAAACAGCATCCCTTCCATTAATAGATTATTATTGAAGAATCGGACATATGCCAAAAGAAGAGCGTAGTTGTCAGGTAAAGTAGATTCATATACCTGCAATTTTCTGGAATGTAATAAGGTAAACAAGGTACTTTCTATGTCCTGAGCCATGTCATCTATTTGCCTAGATACAATCGAATCAGACAATAATATCGATACTGAAGACAAGATAATATGTTCCCCAACATTATGTGGACTGCAATTTTTGGCAAGCAACTTGCTGATTTTATAACATGCCGTAAGTCCATTCGTCATTTTTTACCCTGTCAGAAACCATTGTCTTTAAAGTTGGTCTATTTATGAAACTGTCTACAGACTTTCCGCTTTCGTCCTTTTGAACACTTTCCAAATGATTTCTCTGTTTGGTTGGTCGCAAACTTCCATTGGAATGTTTTGTGAGTTGTACATATAGCTAGATTGGGGTTTCGAGGGGATGCGATAAATCAAAATGACAGGTATTCCAAAGAGTACCGTCGACACTTCTTCTTTGCCCAGTAGCTTATTTCTGAAATATGTTATGGTACATGTTTAATATGTAATATATATATATATATATATACTGCGTTTGTTTTATATTTCTCACAATTATATCATGGGTATTAAATAACCTTATTCGACAAAGCGAAACACGCAAATGGTATGAATGATTAATGGCGTTAAATTTATTCTTGCTCGACTGTGAGATTATAAGATACGACATTTAGTAAGCATACTTGCAACACCTGTTAGTGGCTACAATGTTATGAGGTAAAAGTGTACAAAAACTGTTAGGGACAAGCTAAAGGTGGTTTCTGAAAATGACTTTGAAAATACCGTGGATAGCTAAAATAACTGGAAAAAAACTTCTGCAAAAAGTCAATAATGAAAACAACTGGTACTCGGAAAATGACAATGCTCGGTGGACACATATTCACTGCAGGAAAGCTAAACCAACCAGTGACAACAGGTAAAATGTAGAAATACCGGATAGTTCAAGAAACCGGGCATGGGAGAGTCGACAACGAAACTAATGTATATCTGCCATTACCAAAAATGGCGCCAAATGCGTGCTGGAAAGGCATTTTATTAGTGTGTTAGGGTAGTGCCCTCATGTACATATTATGCTATATATACCCAACTTAGAAACCGGATGACCACATGTGTGATGTAAGTTGACAAAACTGCTCGCTAATTTGAAAACTTCAGCTGAACTGTGTGTTAAAAACGCGTTATAAGGCGTCCTAGCTGTTACAACTGTTAGTCCGAGCGAACGAACGTCCTCAAGAGATAGTACTGACCGCGCAGAGTAGGCGCTCGAATTCGAAACGTTTCGGGCTAACGTGGCCTAGCCGCCAGACGTAGATGCAAACTGAGACTGGAGACCAAAACCGCGTACCCTAGCGCTTCTTCACCGAGACCCAAACGAGAAAGACTGACCGGCACATCAGTTGTCACACAGTGGGAAACTCTGTAAGTGTCAGTATGGCTTTGTTCGGTAACTGCCAAAGTGTACTCACAGTAGCTTGCACAGTAGATGCATCGGTGTCCTGAATGGAGCTCAGTTCGTCCACTGTGGATAGGCATCAAAGTCCTGAGGTCTAATCGGTTGTTAGTTGCGAAGTCCACGTCGTCGTATGGTGATTGTATGTTTGAGATGAGCCCGGCGAAATCTGCGCAGGTTTGACGGAGCTATACCGGCTCCGCAACAGAAAGTCTGCCCGGTCTGGCTTCCACACAGTAAACAGCCAATTGCGCGCATAACTCATTTCCCTGCCTAGCAGTTACCAGGCGAGATTAGTGCACGCTGAGAAAGTATCAGAAAATTTTTAAATATTAATTTTGTTATTTGTGTTATCAAAACTCAGTTTTCACAGCATGGTCCCTTCAAAAAATTTTCTCATCCCTGGGCCCCCGGGAGGTCTCTATGGCCCCCAAGAGGGCCATATGGCTCTCATTGAGAATGGCTGATATAAAGTATACAGCAATTCATCAGCAGTACGACGGTACGCAGTACCTACGATTCGCTGCCGCGCAACCATCACCTGCCGCGGGCTATGGATACTACGAGGGGCCTTACGAAGGGTCGAACCCTCGCCCTCAGATTACAAGGCAGGCTTGTGATCCTTAAGGCCAGAGAGATAGAGGCTGGTGTCCACAGGTTAGTCAGCATGGGTGTTTAAGTGATAAGCAGTCAACGATAACGACGCTTCATCTGATTAGAAGGAATGGGAAAAGAACACGTCACTTGGAATGCGTTCACACTAATTGCGTTATAGTGATATCCGTTGCCCCGATATCTAATCCTTTCGACCGCTGCTCAAAAATGGCTGTACATTCGGTCGCGATTGCATTCCGATCGTGACACATTGGCAGCGCGGCAGTGGAACTGGCGCAAAAAGAGTAAAGGATGGAATGAACGTCCCTGATTGGGAAGCTCACTATGTGTGGCTATCTCAAACAACGATAATTAGAATAGGTATCAGTAATGCCATTGAATACAGCGTACGCTAGACAATTGAAGAATTGCAACACGAAGACATGGGGTGTGAAGAGGTTACGCGATGATGGATGTGGATGATTGGCGCCACCAGCAATAGAAGTAAGTGACTGGCAAGCGCGAAAACGTAGCGGAATTACAGCAGTGGATTTGAACCCAAAGTAATATGATCACATGCAAGCGTTAGCAGTAGTAGTGGGCAAAGAGAAGTCAAAAAATATCTATATGACCGTGCATGGAGGAGTAATGCTTAAGAAAGACTTACCAAAAACGAAAACGATAGATTGCAGGAAGTCCTCGCAATTGACAAGAGAATGGTAGCTCCTCATCAGAATCGCACGAAACGTCGAAACTTTGAGCCTTATCTGATGTGTGCTTTGTGCGCGAGTCAGGATGACGTAGCAATGCCCGAAGGCAATTTGTTCGACCCCATGCAGCAGCGGTATGCACAGGAAGGGCACCCATGCCTGGTTCAGGAATGGACAGAGAAGCAGCACATCCATCCCACTAAGAAATGAAGAAAGATGGGCATAAGTGAGTGGAACCACCGAAGACAAAAGATGCAATTTGGGAGTGAATAAAATGGTGGAAACTTCCGATACGAAGAGACGTAGGTCGTTTTGGAGCCTCTGTGACCACGATGCACCGGAGTAGCCAATGTAACACTAGTATTTAATAGTACTATTTTTATGGTCAGTAGGCCATTATTCGTTTAGAATAATATACAGAAGGTAAGTTGGATGCATATTTCCACGGTTCGCTACGTGGCCTCCGCAGATTTCAGGTTAACGGGCACCGATGATGAGATGAATACGCAGAATAAACTCAACTCCACTATTTCCAGCAAATTAAGAGGAATGGGCGGATTGACGAATGAAGATGCTCAATGGAAGAACGAAGTCGCGAAAAAAGTACACCGAATTCAACGTTGCTACAGAAAACTAAAAGACAACTGTTACCGGAATGTTTGATGGAATCAACTGAGGCATAGTTACCAGGTATACGTAACATATGCAGTAGCATTTCATATCTACATGGCAGAAGGCCACAACTCGACAAATAGCTAAGAAATTTGATAACATCTCTGACTGCATCCGACAGGGAGTCATGTCGTCAAAGCGACGTGTTCCATTAGGAAGATATGAGGACGGTTTAAACTAGAGGACGTTTAACACTGATAAGAAATAAATAATTGGCTTGTAGTTTATTAGAAGCAACGTAGACACGTGTCGGAAAACGCTGCCTATTTAGAAAAAGATGGACACAGCGAAAAGACAAAAACGACACATGCGGTAGATCATCCGAGCAAAAAACTTACAAATCAGCAGTACGTCGGTACTGCGTACCGACGCTTCGTTGCTGCGTAACCACCACCAGTCGCAGGTGGGCTAAGGATACTGCGAGTGTCGCCCGGTCCCTACGCAGACTCGAAACCGCGCCTTCAGAATATAAGTAGGCTTGTGATCTTTAAGGCTACGGTTCTCTAAGAAATTAAAGAGAACAATTGAAGTGACTAATCCCATAGGGTGAGCAACGATGAGTTGAAGTTAAGTGAAATGTGATCAATGAAGCATGATCAATTCCAACAAAATGCGCTACCTACGATGCAGCTATCAATGATGAAGCGACAGATTTGCAAGCGGCGTGATGACAGAACATCCGAGAATAGTGCAATCCAAACCGCTGCTCTTCGGACTAACCTTCATGATCAGTTGGAACGCATCGAAAGCGTTCAAACGTATGGCAGCATGAATGGCCGTATCCTCATCGTCCTCCAGACTTTCCGACCACGGGCGAATAGAAGAGTTGTCGGTGTGGTAAACAAGATTCTCTTGCACGTAGAGTTGAGAACCAAACGGAGCGATTGGTGGAGACAAAGGCTGCTCGCTATTTGAATTAAGTGAAAACGTGGCAAGGCGAACAAGAGACGTACGGAAACCAACACGAAGCAGTAATTCGAGGCCACTGATGAAGTTCTTGTGCACGCATCTGGAGATGAGTGGGTAGAATGAGATATACAAATAGGGTAAAAATAACGGCTTAACGTGTTCCGTGGTCTAGAACATAGTTCCTATTCAACAAGTTATATTTCCTATCATTTTACACAACGCAAACGACAAGCTAATGAGGCGCAAATAAACAATCGATGTGCGATCGAGCTGGAATACAAGATATTGACTTGCAGGCAGGCCTAGAGAGAAAGCACGAAATTGGATACCGCACGAGTCGATCGCTGGTTTAATGTTCGGCGAATCCTTAGACGTTATGTATTAAGACCGAAAGCAGTGGCAAGCAAACATACAGAGGCTTCCAAAGAAGCCAGACTACCAAAACGACATACATCGATGCCTTTCAATTAGGCCGATTAACAGGTCTCCTGTGATGGTGGCTGAAACCTAATAGACCTATGGACAAAACAGACAGCCTCAAGCAATCACGACCGGTTTTGGGTCTGCCTCAGTGCGAGCGATCAGGCGAACGATCGAGTGAGCGAGTAAGTTTTTAAAACAGCCTGTGTGCTGATCCCGTGTGTCATCATGCTTTTGATGCGGTTGGGAGACCCAGTCACGCTACACCTTCGTAATACTGGAACAGTAGGCAGGCAAACGTGATGCAACGCAAGTAGAGAGGGAGCTTCGCAGATGTTCAACAAACTGCTGCCAACAAGAGGGCCATACAGAAGTGAAGTTGTTCATCGCTGAAGAAACCTCAATGATGTGCGACAGTGCGGACAGAGTAAAGGCCAGACGAACAACAAGCCAACAGAAGTACGGAAAAACACGAACAGCAGAAACTCGGTTTATGTAACTACGATCCGAAGCAACTGAACGAAAGTTACATCCAAGATACAAACCACAGGGGACACAAGCGCAATTAAATCTTGGTAAATATTTGGCCCTACGTCCGCCTGAAATATGACTCGAGATTTATCTAATACGCAGAAGCAGATTTCTTTGGCTTATATTATATGCACTAAGGGCAAGATGAAATGATATCAGTAATACGTCGGTAGACTGCACCGACCCTACCACGGGACCATCAGCGGTCACAGGTGGGTTGGACATACAAGACAATCTCGTAGTTTTTTCGGCCATTAGCTGTTGACCTACTAGTGATTGTCGTCTCAAGACCCTTACTTCGAAGTTGGCATCGGCTCAAGCATCTCGGCTCCATGGTTGGAGTCCGAATGAAGATGAATACGACCGGTTGGATGCACTTGTTGACATAGCATGGAGTAGACCTCAACGGCGTTTGTGTTGTGAGTTTCTCGGTCCCACCCCTGCTTGTTTAACCTCACCCTCCAAGAACGATCTCATTTCTTAGGCATAATGTAACTTTTGCGGCACAATAGATAGCCAGCTGTTAGTTTTCCGGAACGATGTCCATCCGGTGGTACTGGTGACTCAGCCAGCGTGCCTCTGTTGCATGTTTTTCTTCTTATGTGTTGCGGCACAATAGCTGAGGGGTTTTCCACCTCTAGCTAATGCGTATAATGATGAATGGTGGTGGTCGTATCCATGAGAAAACGAAGGACTGTGGCACAACCAAAATTGACGGTGTGCGCAGTCTGCAAACTTACATTTAGCCCATGGAGTTAAACCCATGGATAACCCCAGTGAGCAGTATACTCAGTGTGAATCGAATGTTCATAGGTCATATGGAGAGAGGGGAACGTTGGGGCAAGGTAGTCGATGCTACATTAAATAATTCATGCAGTCACATTGGAATTATAAACCCTGTAACGCGCTATAAACGGCCATTTGTTCTCAACATAGCATACACAGTTGAATGATACAAGCGGTGGAAGCAGCCACATCCCTCCATGATGGCCTCTGACGTGGCATGAGGCAGTGGTACACCAAAGTGACATGTTACCGTTGCCTAGTTACACCAAGTCAAGAAGGGTAGCGCGAAAACGCAAACAAACAATTGGGCGAAAATGAGATAATTCTCTTTATATAAGCCTTAATGTCCCGTTTCCTGCAATAAACACGAAGTTTTTTATTATTTCAGATACTTTATACCTTTGAGATGGTTCAATGTGGGTTAAAAAATAAGAGAGTACAATTTAGCGTGTGGAAGCAAATACGTGCTCCGCTGCAATAGGAGAAAAATGGTAAAAACGGTAGTTTCTGCTTAGCGAACGTCTGCCAACGTGTAAGATGAGTGTGCATATGGATGCATATAACCTAATAAGCATACATGCTGCATTGTCACAAACAACAGCTAGAAAATATGGCTGAAAACAGGAGTGTAAGAAGCATCAGAAATCGCTCATCAAAACAAAAATGTAGTGATTTCAAAAATTCGAATAACTGATGCAATAAACTCTTTTTCCTAATCTAAAGATCAGTTAAATGCGTTTGCAAACCAGGAAGTTTGTAAAACGCTCTTCCTTATCTCCAATCAGATTGCGGACTGATGGAACAGTACCGTCAAGTAGTCGATCATCTTGGAGCAGCTTCACACTTGGTAGGTTGTGCTCAGTGAAAGCAGCCTCCATAACTTCGTTCATGATGAAGTTAAAAAGGAAACACACCGCTAGAGATATTAAAGTGCGGCGACAATTCACCATAAACCCTCAATATCCCCGAACTAAGCGAATGACGCATTGTGATAATGTCTGAGTATTTCTTAGCTGCATCTATGCAAATCAGACAGTCAAAGGAGCACATCGACCCGCCGAATCGAAAGCATCGTTTATATAGAGAAACACGACCGGTTGGTCGCCACTAAAAATGGCGTTGTCCCAAAAATTGACGTGAAGCAAAGGTGTGTTCAATATAGCTCAGAATTAGAAAAAAGTCGGATACCGCTTCACATATCTGGGTTTTATGGGTAGCAGTCTATCTATGAATAACGATAGAATCAAGTAAATTAGAGGCGCTAGACATCAGACTGCTAGCTCCTTGATTGTCGCATTCCCAATGTCAGGCCCCCACTCTTGAAGATGGGAAGAATAACGAAGCTTCTCCAGTTGCGTGGGACATTTTTCTTTTCCCATATTCTCACAAATAAATTGCGCAAATCATCTATCAAAGCACAGTCCCCAAATACGAATAGGCCTAGAGAATGTCCGTATTCTCCCGCAGCCTCATTTAATTTCAACAGTCTGATCGCACGCTCGACTATTGCACGTGAAGGCGAATCACAAGAGATGGCCCATGGAGAAGGGCGATCGCTGATCGGAGTGATTAACAGCTGATTAAACTGTTTTTAAAGTCACAAAATTAAGGCCCCAAGCTTTTTGACAGGTTGTGGATAGAATACAGACCCTCGTTGCATACAGTCTCGCCAAAACCAGGTCTCCGACTGTTTGTTTCCTGCGTCAGGAGGAATAACTCATGGTAGTTAAAATGGATAGCCGTTGTTTTCATCGCCCACGTACGATTAGACCAACAAGCTTTGCGATCATTAATCAGGCTACAACGCAGTTTTACCATGAGATTCTTGTGAGTCTCACTTTGTACGCTTCCAGCCGGAATGTGTCGGCAAGCATCCACAAGTCCTAAGAACTGCGTATAAACCCGATGTCTAAGTCACTAATGAGGTTTCCCACATGAAACTTATATGCTGATAGTAAGTTCTGGCGAACACGCGACCAATGATTCTCAACTGTGTTCAGTCAGTGCTTACTCAACCCGAATGCCAGCGTGCTATGAGACGTATTCAAAGCATCTAGCCTCGCTAGCTAACAAGCATCTACACATTCACAGCATCGTCGCGGGTGACAGCTAAAATGTACCCGGATTTCGGTACATAATAGTGCGTGCTTGTGCTTCAAATCGAACGACAGTTTTGGACGCAGCCTCTCGATGTCCATGGCTGATCTGAAGCAGATGGGCGCCACGAGTGCTGCGTGAGAAATCAGTGCTCACGAGAAATAGACAAACAGGGGTAACAACCAATAACTACTACCGTTAGGGGAGGTGACATCGTGGTGGCCGCCCACATACAGCTCATGAGTGAAAAATGTTTCAACTTGAGCGTTCAGATCATCAACCTGATCTACAATATCCATACGCCTTTTGTGAAGGAACTCGTTCAGTTGACCAGTAATCACAAGCAGACACCTATTCGTGCCGCGCGACTTCGAAACTTTTAACCAGCCAGCCAATACGACGGCATACATTCGGCTGCTGGCTTTCACTCAATCTACCAGAGCAACTTCATTCCAGAAGCACCGGGCAATACTCACATCGCCTAGACCGGCATTCGAAGATGCATGAAATATAAATATACGCAGTGAGAAATTACCGCCAGTAAGGTAGGAAACGGGTATGAGGTGAGAATACAGCTCAACCCTAGCAAGCGAGTTTCCGATAAACGGCAGAAATTCATCGATAAGGTGTTCGGGTGAGTTGACAAATTTGTAAAAAAAGTGTGCAGTTTAAGGCAGCCAAGTCCCACCGAGGATTGAGGGTTCCAAATAGAAGCGTATGGAGTAACGTTGTCCGAATGGTTGGAAATGCATTGCTCGACAGGGCAGTAGTGACGCGTCGCGATTGTGTCAGTTAAAATTATGAGACAAACGCTTATCCAAGCAGGGAAAAAGAAAGTCAAGAATTGGAGGAATGAAGATAGGAGGGATAAAAGTGAGGTTGGAACGGGGTGATTAGGATGAAAGAGGGTAAGAGGGGGAATAAGAAGACGGGAAGGCGTGAACAGTAGCATCCTCATCAATATCCATCCTGCTCGATACAGC